TCTTCATCCGCTTTCATTGACATAGCGCTATATTTTTTGATTTTCCAATGCATTCGTTTAGCTTGTCACATTGTCTTCTGTCATCACCCCCCCACGTGGCAACCGCTGTTTTACCAAATGATATTTTATTTACTTTCTAAATGTGTGGCAACTTCTATTTTTGTTTTTCACATGGCAAGTGGAATGTAGGCCAAATGGTAACTTTAATGTACCTTATGGCAACTGCCATCTTTTTATCGTTGTCTTGTGAGCTCATCCCACGCCTAGGTTTGAAATTGCATTCACGGCAGATCAAACATTTTTATCATTCTTTCAAGGTTGCTAACATGGCAACTGCTTCTGGATGGCAACTGCTAGTTATGACACATGGCAACTGACGTTCCCCTTACATGGCAACTGCCAGCTTTTCCACCTGTTTTTCCATTTTCTTAAGATTTCTACCAAGGCAAACTTAATTTTGTTTCATTTTTAAATACCTTTTTCATGCGCTCCATTTTTTTTGCAGGGTGAAGAAGACTACTACGCGTGGGTCCAAGCATATCAGTAAGGACCCGCTCGAACGCATGCATTCAAAGTTGTCAACAGGGGGCAACTCAGACGTACAGGAGGCACCAGTCGACAATATTGTTGCTGCACCGTTGACCGCTCCCACCAACTCTAATGCAAGTGGCAGACCATCTCCGCCGGCTACAGATGTGCAGCCTACAACAACAGGCATCCGTACATCGGGGAGTGACGAGTCGATATCTGCCAGGACAGCTGAAATACTGCCAACCCTTCTGGCAATGAAGGATGCTGCTGTGAGTCATGCCACCCCATCAGCAAGCGTTGAAGTGGACACTCCCGAGATTAACCTAGGCAAGGAAGATTCCCGCTCATCTGACACTGATTCCAAGCGCGTGCGCGGTGGCACTCCTTGTTGTGCTGTATTTGACCGTTGTGTGTGGTCTGTTACACCATAATGACGTGATCCACCAGGAATTTGCGAAGCTTGCCAGGAGACGTTTGCCGGGTCACCGCCAGCGTAATAATCTGCAATCATAGTAGTGGTTGGTCAAATCGCGGCAAACGCATTTCGTGCTAGCACGGTAACTGCAGTTGCCCTTATGTGGCAAATGCATTTTTGCTTGCATGGCAACTGAAGTTGCATTGGTAGGGCAATCGCAGTTTGTTATTAGATGGCAATTGCAGTTGTCATGAAATGGCAACTACAGCTTTTCCTACATGGCAACTGCAGGTGTGCAGAGATGGCAAATGTTGTTTTTAATACATGGCAACCGTAGAAGAGCAGTCATGGCAATTTTTGTAGTTGTCAACTATGCTCCTTGTGCTGACTGAGCATCCGCATCTTCACTATGTTTATGGACTCACCTGTGTACGACGTCGATGGCAGGTACATGGGTGCTGCCCGATTCCACGTGCTGCACGAAGGCTCTGCATTTTACACCCGTGATAACTCGTGAGTCCTTTTGCCATCTTTTTTCCATGTTCATTTTTCATGTCCACAACATTATGTGCTCTTTTTTCGTTTTTGCATTACCTTGATTAGCCATACTAGCTAGTTGGAGTTGGCTGCCCGTACATTTGTCAGCGTTAGCGCCTTGTGACTGCACTTGCCACGGGGCCCCCCTAAGAGTGTTCTGGTCATAAGAACCTGCAAGACAAATGACAGTGCACGACATAAGTAGAATGTCATGTCCATCGTCGCGAAGATGGCAAATGTTTCTCTTCATTTTTTAGCACGCATCGTACCTACGCCTGCATACTGTTCTAGCAGCGGCAGCAATGGCCCTGCAGAGATGAGCTGACTGTACTCTGATGCATCGAAAGGTGGCGGCGTTTCTGGCCTTTGAGAACCCCAATCATCTGCACCATCTTCGTGATTCATTCTTTTCCGTGTCTCGCTTCTGTTCTGATGTGCTCTCAATCACTGGATGAACAAGAAGGCATCAACAATCCAATTTTTTTATCATTGTGCTGCTTGCATTAGAAGTTAACACGTCAGTGCTATCACATTTTCATGCGTTGGCAACCAACATATCATGGCTAGTAGGACATGCACATCCACTATCCTTTTCTAAAATATGGTGCTAGCTATCCGTTTGATTCGATGGCATCAGGCTCTACAATAGGATGGCAAGCAATAAGTTGACATGGTGGCAGTTGACGACAATGACAGGTGGCAATTGACGTTATACACCAATGGCAATTAATTTTCACACCCCCCATTATTCCAAATTTATCAATTCTCTCTCCCTTTTTATGGATTCCTGCACATCCATTCATTCACCAACTAGGAGCATCAACCTACTGAGGACTCACGGTTATCTCTAGCGTACTACATGGCAGATCTAGTGTATTCTACTTGGCAACTGCGAAGTCACACAACGTATGTAGTGTTTTAACCCTGTAGGATGGATCTAGTTGCCAACTTCGTCGGTAATTTTGCAATTTTCTGCCCAGAAGGAGGATGAGAAACAGTAGGGAGATCGGGAGATTCACCTGCTTTTAGCTGGTCGTCTCTGGAGGGCGTTGTTGGAGTGGGGGTTGGGGGGTGGGATGGGGTGGGGGGAGATAAGGGGTGTGGTTTGCGGTGGGAGCGCCCTACAGATCCTCCCTGGTTGCCATGGCAACCAGAGATGGCCGGCGACGGAGGTCGGGGTTCGACAGGCGGGGGCGAGGGCGCAGACGAGAGAGGGGACGGATCGGAGGCGGGAACGGCTGGGTCGTGCGGGCAGCGGCTCGTCTGGCCCGGACGAGGCAGTGCGGGCGGGGTTGCCACACACCGGACGTGCGGGCGCGCTTTTGTGCGCGTGGACGGGGTCGTGCGGGGCGGTTCCCGTCCATGCCACACGATGCGTGCGGGCGGGTTGCCCTCCACGCCACACGTGTGGCAGTTATCGGCTTCCAAATTGAATCCTACTCGTCCATCCATCGCTGACCGTGTCCTACTCCCGTTGCGCTAGTTACCAATCCATATATGCCCTCTCCAACAACCACACAACCACACGTACGAGCCAACTTTACTTTTTGCCATCGGAGCAAAATTCGCGCGCCGGTCATCCTAAACCCAAATCAGCGATCGCCCGGCCAGAAACTCGCCGTAGTGCCGTTCTGGTAGCGTGGAAAGAGTACTTCTGTCATGGAACCAAGTCAGCCTGAGCCTGAGGAGTTCTCGACTGCCACCGCGGGCGAGGTGCTAAAACCAATGGAGGCACCATCCGATAGTGAAGGATGCCCCATATGCTTGGGTCAAGAGGAGGTCACGGAGACCGCTTGGATGAAGACACCGTGCGGACACATCTTCCATGGACGGTGCGTGGAGAGGTGGCTCAAGATGAAGGGAAGTTGCCCCATGTGCCGGCGCCAGCTTTCGGTACCGCATGTTGATACAAAACAAGATGTTCCATTTATACATCCCTTTGAATTGATGGCGATAGAGTCAATGTGGAGGTTTCCTCACATATTCCCAGATCCAGATGGATTTTTCTCAATGTATACGCAAGATATGTTTGAAGGCCATTGAAGATGATGTTGCCATGTACATTATGCTTTCGGTAGCTCTACATATGAGACCGGTGCTAAGAATGTTATGCAAAGTATGGATATCTTCACTTTCAAACAAATAGAACACGTGCTTTCCGAATGCATCAGAACTTTCACGTGAGAATCCTATATACTTAAAAAAATCATCCCACTATCTTTTTCTCTCTTGACAGACAGCTTATCCACATCAGCAACACTACCACATCGACACTTTATTAGGGCCTTACATGCGGGACGCAGCACTATACAAAACAACCACGTTAGCTTTCAGTTACTGCCGGTAGGACCCACGAGAGAGGCTACCCATGGACGTATCTTTTCGTCATCCAACCCAACCCATCACCCCCACATTCCTCTCTCTATATTCTGGTGCACCGTCCCACCCAAGATCCCGTCTCAAACCCCATGCAGGACTGGTGGGTCGGCTCCTCTATATCCGCTACACTCTAATTTGAAACCGATGTTTGTAGTTACGGTGTTCACTCTTATTTGATTCTTATGTCAACTGCTTCCCTGTTGTCTGTGATTTATGTCCAGCCATCATCCCACTGTGATTTCAGAGGTGTAGATGTAAAAGATGCAACGACGCACAATAAATACTCCCTCCATTCCTAAATATAAGTCTTTTCAGACATTTCAAATGAACAACAACATACAGATGTATGTAGACACATTTTTTAGTATAGATTCACTTATTTCGCTCCGTATGTAGTCACTTGTTGGAATTTTTAGAAAGACTTATATTTGAGAACAGAGGGAGTATATAGTACAGCATGCATATGCATGGTCTCGATGAAACCGAAGTGATGCTAGAGGTACGTTGGTTTTTATCCACTACTTGGAATAAAAATCCACGAAAATACTACTAGTATCCACTGCTTACTTGTTGGAGGCGTGGAAGCGTGGGTGCGAGCCCTGCTTGGCTCGGTCCTTTGTTCGTTGGTACGGACCCGAAACACGCCCTTTAATTCTCTTTCCGAAGCGAATTAAACGGCAATCGCGACTTGTAATAAGTAAACGAACTGCTAAGTCGGTGGTTTGGAAAACAAAATCTGGACGCCAAGATTGATGGATGCATGGGCAGATTGAAAGGTGGTTTGGCGTATTTCCTACTACGATTTCACGGCTAGAGAGCCATGCACATACACGTATCCAAGATGTAGTATATATATTTGCTTTGGATCCATTATGATCTCTAGTACTAGGACGTACGGATTAGCAGCATTGACCAGTCCGTTGTTTATTTACTAATAGTGCACAAATTAAAGCAAGGAATCCAGGCTCGCACGAACAGAAGCGCAAGCGGACTCCTCGTGCTGCTGAAACTGAAAGCGTATACTCGATTGAACTAGACGGGCAGATGATCACCCACCCACGGGAGGTCTCTTCTCTTGAATGGAATCATCACCGGCACGGCACGGCACGGCACACACCCACGCGGAGTGCACGAACATCTAGTACTGCGCACCTAGCTTAAACTTGGTAGGCATATGCTTGCAGACCCTCTGCACCGCCGGCCTGGCCATGAGCATCTCCCACCAGGCCTTCACCTTGGGGTACTCATCAAACACCTTGGCGTACGGGGTGGTCATGAAGTAGAAGGTGAACGGGATGTGGTTCAGATCGGCGAAGCTGATGGAGTCCCCGGCCAAGTAGCTGCTCTTCTCCAGCCGGGCCTCGTAGATCCCCAGTACACCCCTCAGCCGCTCCAGGCTCTCGTCCACGACGCTCCGGTTCGGCGCCGCGCCACCGCCAGGGATGATGAAGGGAATGATGATGCACTCGAACACCACCGGCGAGATGGCTGGGTAGTACTGCTGGGCCTCCACCTCCGTCCACATGTCCACCATTGCTAATTCTTCGATTCCACTGTTTTCTCCGAGGAGGTCCAGGCCGGCTGTCCCCCCGTACTTGCGGAGGATGTACTTGGCGATGGCGCGCGACTCTGCACTCACTCATCGATTTGTTAGATTAGAGAAACCAATGCAATGGATTTTTAACATGATACTCTTAGACAGGAATGATTCGTGTGTACTGATGTGTTAGAAGGCTCACCGAACAGGACGAGATCCCCATCTTGGAACCCAGGCATCTTCGCAAACGGCTGCAAGGAAGAAAAACACGCAGCATCTCTGTCAAAAATCATCACCTGAACCTGATACGGTGACCGATCGACGAATTGTCGTCTGCTTACGTTTAACTGGACGTGTTGGGGCCTCTTGTGCTCGCCGGCTACGAAGTCGAGGGGCACGAGCTCGTACTCAGCGCCGACCTCCTCCAGGAAGAGCAGCACCCGTGCGACGTTTGTCAACATCGGGTGCCCGAACACCTTCACCGGAGACATGTTTGTCCGTGAACTTCACGTGATGGATGCTCTACAGGCAGGAGAGGGAGCAAGACTCTGCTCTGTAGCGTGCGCGCGTGTGTGTGTGGAGGAGGCCTTGGATGTTGATCTCCATTTATACGCAGAGCAGGGAGCACCACACCCGGCCCGCGTGGCCCAAGGAAAACTGACCGCTCTGAATATTGTACTAGGACTTTTTAGGTAGTGTCTAGACCTGCTTTATTTCATTTTTGTTCCGCCGCCGGCTGCTACTCCTGTCATTTTTCTTCTCGTTCAGTTGAATGCTACAAGTTCCGAGAGTTAAGCTTGCCAGCGATGAATCATTTTCCAACTTGCCGACGCCTTGCATGTCCTATAAAAAATCAACTTGCATGCTACTATTACGTCGCTAGCAGGAGGCCCATTGGTAGGCGACACATCACTTTCCATGGCTCTAATTTTTCCTGTTTGATGCTTGTGGCCTTGATAGCAACTTAGCAAGAGAGACTTTCCACGGCTCTGGCTCTCACCAGCTAGCGAGATATTCGTCAAATAGTTCGTTTAGGTGGCTAGAGCATGGAATAACTTATTCTATTCTTAAACACAAAGTATTAAATCATTCTCTTCATATATATACTAAGAAGACTAGGCCTGTCAAGGTTCGAATTTTTTCTGGTTTTCTCGGATTTTTTTTTCATCCCTGCCGGTTGAGCGACACTTTATGTGCCCTTGTCTATCTCCGCGTGTGCAGTGCATCCTACGGGAGAGTTCCTTTGTTTTTTTATGTTTGTTTGACTGCACGTTTTGCATGGTCAAATTGACATGCCCGTTTCAGATTTTCTGGGTTGTTTGCTCCGTTCCACGCGTCTCTGCATGGGACATGCATGTGGCTGGTCCAGTTCACATGACCCTTTCAGATAGGCACACTAGAAAGAAGGCAGTGTGCTCGGAGGGGCCCGTTAGTTGATTTCCATTTTTATTCATTGAAAAGTTTGGCCATGGTCACGCATGACCCTGAGTTAGCTGGTCAAGTATGATGTCCATAATTGAAAATTTTAATATGTAGTCGTCAGACGTCGCCCCTTATCTACGGTCGGCCCCATCACCTTATTTTTTTTAACATCAGTACAGACACAAGCGCTCATATACACGCGCATACACTCACTCCTATGAACGCACACACGCATATCCTACCCCTATAAGCATCTCCAAAAGACTGAGCCGGCATATCATCTTGAGATTCCCCATCACCTCATTTGCATGTTCAATTTCCCTCATGCAAAAAGTCCGTCGGTTTCAACGAGAGATCACGAGCACTTTGAAAAGTTGTTCCGGATTTTTGGGGATAAGCACATGTGTACTGTTATTACAAGTCTATACTCCTGCGTATATTTCCTGTTCTAGAAATTGTGGATCGCTGACGGCAGCGAGGACAACAAAGGCAGCCTGACTTTTCTTGCCATCCCATCCTTGGGTACATGCCGGGCGGGCTGCGGCGTGGCGGACTGGCGGGGACACGGCGAAAGCGAGGAGAGGTGGCAGCAGCATCTGGTCCAGCATCAACCACGACGGCAATAGCTGAAGGAAAATATAGAAGGTCTCATCTGCTGTGCTCCTCATGTGGTCACAGTGCATCTCCGTGTAACATCGCCGCCGGCGGCTATGACCGGCTACGATATACGACGACAACAAGATGACTTCATGTGGCAACCCCTGCGGTCTTGCCTGACAGGAGACGACGACACTTGAGGTTCATCATCCCATCCTTTATTTTCTTTCAGGGGTTTCACCATCTCATCGTGGAGGTATACTCTCACGCATGCATTACTTTTTTTTTGCAGGGTGCATACATTACTTTTACGCATGTAGTTCCTCGTACTAACTTATCTACCATTGTCCATTAATCTTTTTTATCTCCCACTGACTATGGCGTATGGCAGTGTAATTTTTTTATACTCACTCAGAAAAAAATGTGTACCTTCTTAGATGAAAAAAGTGCATACATTCCTCATAAAAAATGCAATTTCTATCCTCTTAGGAAAATGCAGTATATACTCACCCAACAAAAAAAAGGTTATTGATCTATCATCAAAGTGCAGTATATTTATCACAAAAAATAATAATTCAAAGTGCAGTATATAACCCATCACAAAAACTATGTGCTCACTAAAAACTGTAGAATATGGTATATACCCTTTAATAAGTTTTACATATTTGTGATAATTTGTCTCATCAAAAGTAGTGTATACATGTCATATATATATATATATATATATATATATATATATATATATATATATATATATATATATACTTATTTGTGCTAACTCGTTTCATCAAAAGAATGTTATATACTACACGGTTGTAAGTAACAGTATATACTCCAAATTTTAGTACAACAACGTATACTTCAAACTAGTATCATGTGTACTACTTCCAATGGTTAACGAATGAAAAACAAATGATGTCCGCTATTCCAAGCAGTCAAACAAATTTGAAGGACGAATGGTTGTTCCTAACTTCTAGGGTGTACCTAACGCGTCCAAAAAAGGTTGTTAGATTTTTTGACAAATTGGCTGAGTTGTTGTTATTCCTAAGGATGGGGCGTGGGAGTACATACTCTTGGGAGTATAAAAGAGGAGTCGTGTGTGTGTGTGCGCGCGCGCGTGCACGGGTACAAACCATTTCTCACCTTTCATAGATAGTATAGGAACAATGGTTTAATCGGAGAGCTACCAAAATGCAAAGGAGAGAAGTGGCTTTGTATCAAAGAACTCCAAAACACACTAAACACACTTGGCTTATGTGAAGCTTAGGTATGGCAAGTGGCATGCAAATGGAACAACGGGGAACCAAGATATTGTAGTGGCAAGTAAATATCCACCATGATTACAAAGCAAAGACAAGTTTATCTTAAAGGATAGGGATTATGTTCAAGGAAACTCACATGCAAAGATAATGCAACTCGTGCTACCAAAGGAATGAGCTAAGCACCAAAGACGATGTGTACTTCCTTTTTACATATCCTTGTTTCCTATGGCATATCATTACAGGAGTATTACTATCGTCCAGTCCCGACGTATACTCCCCCTCCAATGATTAGCTCATTGTTGGTGAGGGTGTTCTTAGCACGAGTGGGAATCTGCCTTCATTTGATCTTGGTTATGTCATAGGGACATGTGGTAACAATTATCAACCCATAATGCTCTCAAGATTCCCTCCGGTTCACCCTTCCCGGGGAGTTTCCCCTATACGTCCAGAATGTGCCTAAGTGTCGAAACCCCAAGTGTCTGAAGCCGGACACACGCGGGGGGTTCATCCTTGGATCCAACACCATCTCACCACACTTGTGTACACACCATGTGGACACACACAAGTTTTGGGGCCATTCCCACCCTCCGAGGCTTGATTTACGACGAAACCCTAACCCGTTGACTGCGCGGTCTATCCCTTTGACTTCATCCCACCGGCGGTGCCCGGGTGGGCATATGCCTTCATTTGATCTTGGTTAGGTCATATGGACATGTGGTAACAATTATCAGCCCATATGCTCTCAAGATTCTCTCCGGTTCAGCCCCCCCCCCCAAGGGAGTTCACCCTATACGTCCATAATCTGCCTAAGTGTTGGAACCCCAAGTGTCTGAAGCCGGACACACGCGAGGGTTCATCCTTGGTTCCAACACCATCTCACCACACTTGTGTACAAACCATGTGGACACACACAAGTTTTGGGGCCATTCCCACCCTCCGAGGTGCGATTTTCGACGAAACCCTAGTTCTGTTGACCGCGCGGTCTACCCCTTTGACTTCACCCCACCGACGGTGCCCCGGAGGCATACTTCTAAGAACAACAACCAGCTGATCCCTTTTTTTCCTGGATACATCTCTGAATCTAAGATGATGATCAGCATACATCATATAGGGATGGGATCCATAGCTTAGTGCAAGGAAATGTCTGCTTAACTTGCTCAGTTTTCTTAGAAGTATCCTTAGCATTTTCTCTGTTTTTAGTGACAATGCATACTGTGACAATGTACCTAATGTGACACTCTACTATTTCTGTCAATTTGTTTCATCAAGTGTGAAGAGTGGAACAGACATGGATGTTACTGAACTTCCTCACTTGGCATATGCATATTCTGGCATCTTAAGGTTCTGTGTAGGACGTGAGTATTCAAGTTAATGCTCATTGTGTGTTAACAACATTTACTTTAGAATAGCCAGCACGCTTCCTACTACAAGCTAAACAGTAGAGTATCTAACACAAAACATGAAGTTCATGGAGTTCTTGGAGTGCATGATATATCCTGCTGTTCTGGAAATGAGTTCTTGGAGTGCATGTTATATCCTGATGATGTGCTACACCAACTATTACAAGGTAATGAATTAATTACAGTAGAGTAACTTCCTGATGTCAATGATTGCAGATCACAGGACTGGGAGTATACTTGCATCGGGAGGAGCATTATCTTCTTCGTGTGGATCATTGTCTTCTCCGAGTGGAGTGTAGTTCAAGTCCGGAAGCACCACAGATGCTGCTGCTACTCAGTGACAAGGATGCACTTGAGCGCGCCGACCTTGTAGTCGACGCCGAAGTGGAGCCAACATCCCCCAGGTCCCAAGCCCTTAGCAGACTAGATCACTGGCCCTGGATCGGCGAGGTGACTGGATGACGAGCAGCACCTAGGCCGGCAGGTGTTGGGAGAGCAGAACCAGGGGTGGTGGCGACGCACCGACCTTCTCCCCTTACCGGCGCTCTGCTCCTTCTGGGTGGGGGTCGCCGACTGGTGTTCTGCTGCAGGGTGTGAGTCGTCGGCTAGCGTGCTGCTGTTGGGACGATCGGTGAGGCCAGTCGGTGTTGTACATCGATCGGCGAGGAGATCTGAGTCTTGGGGAGATCAGTGAGGCCAGGTGTTGTTGGCCCGATCGATTGACCAGGTTCTGGGAATGGGGCCTGGCGTGATCAGCGAGGTGCTGGGGGAACTGGATCATCTAACGTGGAGGAGGCAAGTCAGGTATGC